TGCCCAGGTCCGGGGATCCACGGAGCCTGGTGCTGCGGGGGAAACCTGGTAACACCTTCGTTCCTTAGATGTGAGGAAAACCCCTTCGAGGGTACTTGAGACTCTAAATCTTTGCCATATTCGTTCCCCTCTCAAAGTTCTCGAACGTGGAAAGTAATAATTTTGACTCTGGAGGTGAAGGTCATGCTTGATGCTAGCTTTCATGAAGAGGTGCTGGCTATTCGTTTCATTGGTAGAACCTTGGGACCCTGGATACTTAAAAGTAATACTTCATGTTTGTAAAATATTATTTTCTTACTTTGTGACAGGTTATGATTTGAATTTATTTACTTGTTTATTTGGTAGTGGGATTATACTCTTGGCAGAGTGCAGCAGGAAGAATGAGCCATATTATCTCATGATCTTAAGAATTAGCTATTGCTTAAGTACTTATCTTAAAAGGTCTTCTCCTTGACATTCTTACAATTCTCTGAGATTTTAAACAAGCCCATATTTGAAAAACTACGAGGTAAGACAGGAGTCAATGAATTCCATTAAACTATTTTTCATATACGGAGTCACAGAAGAAAGTTATCAAAAGTATGTATACAAATTGGCTTAGTCTCCTGCTAAAAGATCTACATTCAATATGCCCACAAAAGGATTTAGCAGACACTCTGGAGGAATTAATTTCTCTCTTTAGTTATTTATTAAGAGATCGAGCTAGTCTAAGCCATTGGCATTGATGATAAACTTTGAAGTTTGAATATATGAAACTCAAATAGGGAATAAACACTTAGGGATTTGTTTCACTTAAGATGCATTCTTGTTCCAACATGTTGATGTGCACCATATGGACATTACCCTAGGGATAAGGATTAACAGAAAGGGGTTCATTATCTTGTGGGGTATTTGAAAAAGACTTATGGACTTGGTAACAGGGTTTATCGTTTGTGTCTTGTTTACTTAGGAAGCAGTCATGAGTTTTTGTACATTATAGGAAAAGTACTGCATTTTATTATTTAGTACTTAAACTATGGCTCCTCCCCCCACTTAAAAATCATTGTATAATACTATGATTTAAAAGCACTCAATATGTTTGTATAATTTTATTGTTATTTTATTATGTTGATTCTGATTTCATTTAAAATTAAAATTTTCACTTGGAAGGGGTTGTTCATAAATAATAAAAACTAGTAAATCTTCAACCATATATTTAGAGGTTCAAGACTGTATTATAAAATTAAAGGAAAGCTTTGAAGAATCCCATAGAGACCTCATTCCAACAGTTAGTTATAGAATTAAAACATCTTAAAATAGTAGATTTTAATGTTCCTGATAAGAAAATAATGCTACTCAGGGTATTTGTGACAGCAAAAATATTGTTATGTATGTACACATATTTTATCATACTGTTATTGTATTCTAGGTCATTCATGGTGCTCGTTCACTTTAATTGGTAAGTAGGTAGTGGATTTAACCTGTCACGCAGTGGCAGATAAACTCATTCTGAAAAATTCACTCAGTGTCCCTAGGTTACCTGCAGATACTGTTCCCACCAACTGGTGACTTACAAATTGTTGAAGCTTTACTTTGATTCCTTTAAGAAAGTCTATTGTTAACTGCGTCTAAAAGAAGTAAATATCTAGAGAGAATTATAATTCAGTTGGTATTTTAGAAAAAAATCCAGCGGAATAATTACGATGTAGTATACTTTTTAAAACAACAACAACAAACTTTATATTGAGTGGGAAAGGGAAGCAATATCAAGAACTAACCACAGGAAAGGTGACATTTTTTTTT